AGAGAGAGAGAGAGAGAGAGAGAGAGAGAGAGAGAGAGAGAGAGAGAGAGAGAGAGAGAGAGAGAGAGAGAGAGAGAGAGAGAGAGAGAGGTGCCATTGGGGAGTGAGGGGAAATGGATGGAGGGGATGACAACGGAGGAAGCTTTGGCCTTTCTAAACATCAATATAGCACCACTGTGACCTGGCCCTTATTGCTCCATGCAAGCCCACAGCAATAACTTATTTCCCCCCTCTCTTGCTGACAGCAATAACTTATTTTCCCCCCCTCTTGGTGGGATATGCTCACCCCACAAATAACTGTTTTGAGTTGTTTACAATTTTGCACAAGTGAAGGCAAAAGGTTCCCACACCTTAAAAGGCATAAAGGACAGTCCGGTGGCCCCAAGCCTCCAATTTTTTTTGGAATGAGCCGACCATTGTTCTCAAGTTAGCCTGGGGCCTGGGGCCATGTACACCGACCATTGTTCTCAAGTTAGCCTGGGCCCTGGGGCCATGTACATGGGCCCAGGCCTCCAAAAAAAAAAAAAAAAGAGGGCGACAGTCTTGAAATATCATGACTGGCCCCAGGTAATTCACAATTTGTTTCATTGCATTCATCAACGTCCATCAGGATTCGAGCTTGGGTAGGTAATTCAGCAGTTCATGGGTGTACCAACTGGGCTAGACTCGTTGGTCTCCAAAATTGTTGGAATGAGCCGACCGTGGTTTAGTCGGCACACTTCACAGAATAGCTACCAACAGAACAAACAAAGAATTTCACCGCATATTCTTCTACTGTGCAGGACTCGAATGAAATGAGATTATTGAAATATCCTGGAAAACTATCGAGACAGGCCGCTCAAATATTGGTGGAAAAGACAAAAAGAGGTCAGACACAGACGGACTGGATCGGCGTGGGACAGGAGTTCCCCACACGCCGTGCAGTACTGGTTGCGGCAGTTACGAGCGAGAAAAACGGATCCTGACAACGATAGGCACCCGAAGTGGACTGAGAGACTGGCTGATCGGCAACTGCAAATTTTTGGTCCAGTGGAAGTCGCACGTACGGAATGCACATCCCCGACTACATTCATGTAGTCTACAGTGCGCAGTCTACACTGACTCTACAGAGTACTAGCCGGAAGACCTCGATTTCAGGACATCGGAGAATTTTCACAACTACGTACAAACGTCGTACATTCAGATCAATTCATGCAGGTTTCGCCAGACAGGAAGCATGCTGCGACGAGCAACACAGTATATGGCAGGGAAGCTTAATTTTGAATCTTCGTACAGATGAACCTGACCATTTGGTTCAACCGATCTAAACAAGCAGATCTATGACTGTAGTTGCCTCCGTTGCCATGGCCACCTCCATCTTGTTAAAAAACCCCAAAGCTACCTCCCTTGTTATATTGAGAAAGCCGCGTTAGTGCGAATGCGAGTGCGAGTGCGAGTGCGAGTGCGAGTGCGAGTGCGAGTGCGAGTGTGAGTGTGGGTGTGAGTGCGAGTGCGAGAGTGTGAATGGGAGTGGGAGTGGGAGTGGGAGTGGGAGTGGGAGTGGTCCAAATGGGAGCATGAGTGCGAGGGCGAGGGCGAGGGCGAGGGCGAGGGCGAGGGCGAGGGCGAGGGCGAGGGCGAGGGCGAGGGCGAGGGCGAGGGCGAGGGCGAGGGCAAGTGTGAGCATGAGTTGGAACAAGGAATGACAGCAAAAGAGATACACTGGTATAGAGACTACAGCAGCTCTGTAGTGATGATGGACAGAAGGGTGATGGAGGGCAGTGGTTGCTGGGCTGCCGTGCTATAGCGTGATATAGATATATATATATATATATATATATATATATATATATATATATATATATATATTGTTATATTCAATGCGAAATATAAAGTCGAGTACATCACGCTGAAGTCAATTTGATAGGTAGATAGATAGATACTCTCTGGGAAGATCCACTGTGAAACGACTCAACACTTCACTGAGAGCATAAAGTGATGATCGACAAGAATCAATCTATCCTGTATTTGTCCCATATGTTATGATCCTTGGTGGCTTGGACATTCATGATGCGAAACTCGACGTTCATACAATGTCATCCCATCACAACTCAAAAAGTAGTGGAATGAGACAAAAGGGAGAGAAGGAGAAGAAGAAGAAGAAGAAGAAGAAGAAGAAGAAGAAGAAGAAGAAGAAGAAGAAGAAGAAGAAGAGTGAAACATGAAGAAAGAAAGAAGACGAACAACAATTGAAAGGAATTGATCAAGTGAGGCCAATCTTCACGTCTCCTTGACGCTTAGAGCAAAGTGAAGAAACCGCATGCATGGACATCACCATAGCTCATGTACGCGCATCTTCCTCGATGTGTTTCGACTGGTTGTGCACCAACACTTTCTCAACAGGCTGTCCGCTAACGGAAAACCAACCAATGTCGTCTCCCTCCTGCTCTTGCCTCCATCGACTTTCACACAATTTCCTCCTCCCCCTCCTCTTCGTAGTCAATTTAGTAACAAATAATGAATGAATGAACAAGGGATGAATGTCCAATTGATATCCCTCACACTGCCATTGTATGAATAACTCTACTATACCTATCCTTTCTCTCTCTCTCCTCGTGGTAAAGTCACAAGATATGGCTGATCATCCCGGTCTTATGCCGGATGTACAGAGGACAAGACACTACTACCATGGTTACTGCTACGACGACGACGACGACGACGACGACTACGACCACGACTACTCCAATACCATCATTCCTCTCTCCTGCTAGCCTATTGGACTCTAGGACCTGCACGACTTCGAGGAAAATCCCTACCGGCTCCCCGGAGGGATAATTCGGCTTCAAGTCTACGTCTCTGCTCATCCTGTTTGTCCGCATGTGCGTACAGCAGCCTAGGAGGGGTAATTTGGCTTCCAGTCTACGTCTCTGTTCGTCCTATTTGTCCGTACGTGCGTACACCAGCCTAGGAGGGTTAATTTGGCTTCAACTCTATGTCTCTGTTCATCCTATTTGTCCGTATGTCCGTACACCAGTCCAATTTTCAGTCCTGCCCCTCCTAGGCTCCCAAATTGCAAACAAATCCTATGGTGGATCTCAAATTCTGTCACAGCCCTCAGGTAAGCATGCCAGATCAGAAATTACGAATTTCTCCCCACAAAGATGTATGCACCTGTCTGTTATAGGCTTGAAGCCCAATTACCAAACTACCCCTCCAGTTTCAGCATTTACAGATAAGTCATTCTCCGAAGCCCAGAATTACGACACGGACAGTCAAGTCGAGTCAACAATACAGCAACCACTCAGGAAAAGTCATAACTTGTTGCAATATACTACATAGTATATACTATATGTTTTTTGTTTGTTTTTTTTTGTTTTGTTTTTTTTTTTTTTTTTTTTTTTTTTTAAGCATTATACAATCAGGCTCACTTTCTTTTCCACTTCGCACTCATGCAAACAGATGGTGAATCACACTGGCGCACAGCGCCCACTCAGAGCTCAAAGATATGAAAGTCGAAAACACAGTTCAGATACAAACTCGCTTATGGCGCATCAGCGCCTGTACATGCCAACTCTCGTCTCACTGTCCAACACCACTGTTCGCACGTACTCAACTCTGGATCACCCTGGATATCCCACACGCATACACACGCTCTCGTACTTACAAACTCGCCTATCAGCTATGGCAGCTATGGCTGCTATCCCTCTATGGCTATGGCTAACTATCTCCTTCAGCCCACTTCGTCTTCGGGCACTCTGCAGACCACCTCGCACAAGTCGCTGAGGCAGCGCTTCCGCATGGCTTACGCAGAAATGAATGAATAGCTAGACGCTGCCTCTTGATTTATACTTCTGTAACTCGTTGGTCTGCCCCTGTTCCACTGGGCCCCTGGGTGCACCAAGTCCCTCATGGTACTTGCTGACTGTACAAAGTGAGACTGGGACTGGGTACTGCTGACTCAGCAAAGTTAGACTCACCACTTGCCCACTTGCCCACTTGCCTCTGGTCTACTGTGGGCAACGTTTGAAAGGCCACTTCCAGACCTTCCGGAAGTCTGTGGGCTTGGCCTTTCGACACTGTAGCAGCTACGACCTTGACCTTTCAGGACTGTAGCAGCTACGACCTTGACCCTTCAGAACTACTACAGCTACGACCTCTGCTACAAACTTGACCCCTACCCGACAGGACTACAGTTCAAGACCCGATAACTACACTGGCCTACGACGGACAACAGCAGACTCCTAAGACGCAGGTCACAGGTGTTACATGCCCAGTTGGCCGATGTACATAATAACCAAGGATCCGCAATGTGATAAAAAGGACTGAATGGACAATGCAGTGCAAGTAGAATCTCAACAAGCAATGTGCATTTCGATACATACAAAATGGTGCTTTTATAGCGCAGGGAAGACTTTAGATACAAGTCCTGACCTGACCGGGACTGACCTCATTCACGTAGCACAAGATAGCGAAGCAGAATGCTAGAATGCAAATGACTAGCCCAATCAATGTTTAAAC